CCCCAAATGTAACGCATATTGTACACTTGTCCTGGAGGACATTTTATTAGAAGGGAGCCTTGTTATAACTGGTAAAATAGCATGTGAGAATAGGTACGTTTCAGGAACATAATCCCGTTTTAAATTGTTTCCTTCTTCCTAGTGTTTGTTGATCATTCAGAGATCAATTTCGTAAAACCGTTTTTTCTTTAGGTAAACACACACAGATTCATTACTCAAATGACAACAGAGATATTTTAAGTTAACTTAAAGTATTTTATTGGATAAAAAGGAATTTCTCAGAAGTGATTTTAAGGAATGATGAAAAAAGGTTTGGCAAGCACGACTGTATTATATTAAGAAAATTCCATACGCAAGTTTACTTGAAATATTTTTACTTTTCATTCACATATTCTCTCCAGCAGTTTGTACATTAAAAACATTAAAGTACCACATGCAATTTTCATACTACACAATAATTCTAAAAAATTACCAATTTTTGAGATATATAGTCAAACAAACCCTTACATTAACTAGAAAATTGATAATTCATTTCAAAACCCATAGATTGTTATCCATCCAGATTCATCCACATATTAAATCAAATTCTATTAAAAAGTCAGAACAAATTGGAGTCTCACTGTATAATTTGAGGGAAGCTTCACAGACGAAGAGCCAATAATTTTTTTCCCCTCCATGGTGTATAATTCAATATATGATAGGCCCACAGTTAAAAAGAAGGCAACTGTGCATGATTTTGGGGCCAATTTATTGTATGAGCTTTAATTTAATCAATTTTTTAAAATCACACATTTGTTTATAATAAAATCAGCTGGAAAAATCATTCCTACTGATATCTTAAGCAGCATCCAAGGAGCATATGGAGAAGGTGAGCAAAGGAGCTGGATCTTCCAGCATGAAAGAGGGAGAACTTTAGTCATAAAAAGTAAACTTTAGTTGTAAAAAAACTGTGGCCAATTAATTAGGGGACAGTCTTAAACTAACCGATTCACTGATTGTACCTTTCACTCTGACCTTTTTTACATAACTGTGCGTGTATCAAGTAAAAGAGGCTTTAAAAACGAGAAAAATGAGAGAATAAGAAAACAGTTTATCAAATGTAACTGATAATCAAGAAGTAAACAAATAAGCAACAGGAAGTACTTCCTAAAATAACATTGCTGACAGGATTTTTTTTTTTCACAAGTTATTGCAAGCATGTGGGAGTTTAAATAAGTAGTGTGCTAGGAAACCACTTCCTCGTGATCTCTCTAATTGCCAAAAGTATTTAGAAATGCTACTTCCATATTCATCAATATTTATACATCAGAATGCTAAACGCCATGAGTAAAAAGCAGAATATTAAGGCCTTCTGATGGCAATGGTGGCTGAAATAAATATAAAATTCAAATTTGGTCTCACCCACAAACTTATTAAAACCGCAATCCCATTCAAAAAATAAACTGTTCAGTTCATGATGGTAAACTAAGGTGACTTTTGCTATCCATTTCCAATCTGGTGTCTTCCAGATATTTGTAAAGGTTTCCTTACTAATATACGACATGCAGTGATTGAGGAACAGGCACGTATAACAAACCTTACTTCAGGATACATTAGGAGAAAAAAAAGTTGGCATTTGTATCCAGAACAAATGTAAACAATCCAAATCCTCAAAATTTGAGGCTCTTTAGTGGAAAGACTGTTGGCAACACACCTACATTTCAAATGTAATTCTCTATAACAACTACCCCAATTTAACTTAGCTTCAGTGAATAATGCAACTCTAGTGGCAGAGTTGTTATCTAAAGCTTGTTCTTCTTACCACCAATAATGGTTTTCCTTCAGAGTATATAAAAAGGATTCCTGAAATTCCTTTTCCAAATACTTGCAAAATCCAGAGCTGTCTCAAAGTAGGTTTAAGTCCATAGCTTCAGGAGAATCCTTTTCCTCTAAAACAGTGGTTCTCAACCTTTTTAATGCCGCGACCCCCGACCAGTCGTAAGTCGAGGACTAAACCGGTCGAGGACTAAACCGGTCGTAAGTCGAGGACTACCCAACCGGTCGTAAGTCGAGGACTTTCCCTGCCCGGGAGCGCCGCACATGCGTGGTTCCGCCCCCTGCGCCGGCCGAGGCGTAGCTGGCAAGCGGCAGAGACGGAGCAGGCCGACCCCCGTGAAATGGACGATCGACCCCAAATGGGGTTGCGACCCATAGGTTGAGAACCGCTGCTCTAAAACAGGAATAGTTGGTCGGGAAACCAAAACATGCATCTTTTAAGTTTTAGCCTTATAGCAATCATGTACATCAGACATGTCAAACTCACGATGTCACGTGACGTCGCGTAACGTATCGGGACAATTTTGCCATTGCCAGCAATGGGGTGGGTGCGGCTTCCGGATGTCACATCCAGCCCATGGGCCGGCAGTTTGACATCCCTGATGTACATTATGCTCAAAAGTAATGATGAAAATCTTAAGTAGAATTACACAAACTCCTTAAATGTGCAAATGAAAAGGAATTTGTAGGATTGTGTGGCACTTCAAGAGCAAAAATTTCATTGGGAATTGCAGGGGGACCTTTCACAGCATGTGTTGGCCACTTATTAAAGCAGCTACATCTTCTCCCAGGATCAGACAGTGGCCACACGATCCCAAGTATCACCTTCTTCAAGACAGATCAGACCCCACAAGATTTACTGGCATGCTAATTTATTGATATAGGTGTTAGTAATAGAATCCTAAAAGCTAGCAGCATTTTCCCTACCTCCCTGTCTCCCTCCCTCTTATACCAAAGAAAGTTTAGGCAGAACCAGATTGAGTTTCTTTCTAGTGTTCTCTTCCTGTTCCAGGCTTAAATCATGTTTTGCTAATTGCCACTGCATATCTTCTCCATGGTCATTGCTGTGGTTCTCTACATCCAGGAAAGAAAAAGAGCTTGGTTTGTCAAGAACAAGCTTACAAATTATGGTTTAATTAACAAAACTTCATTTAAAAATTAATGGTTCAGTATAATGGAAGACAGGCGGAGATAGGATAATTTTTTCCCCAGAGATCAGATCCTGTTTGAGTAGGGAAAATCCATAGGTTGAATCTCCTTCCACATCTGGGCCTGATGGGCTGCCCAAGCCTTCAGCTCAAGGGCCTTCGCAAGAAACACGAGGAGAAGAGTAAGCACATCTCCTTCAGCTGTGTGGGCTCTGGATGGTTCCTCTCTATAGAAGTGCTGGTACAGATTTCCCAGCTTATAGCTCAGGTGCGGTTCTCCAAGCACATCCTTCAAAGCCTTCAATGTGTCGAGGCATCCTGTATTTGCAGGCAGGTCAGTGCCTATTTGCCACAGTTCTTTACGCAGCAAGGGAAAGTCGAAGCGGAGACCATTGTGGGCCACTAAGCAAATGGGCTGAGCTTGCCGGTCTAAAAATCCTTTCAGGGTCTCCATCAAAGAACGGTTGATTTCAGGCTTGCAATTCTGTTCCAGCTTTTGGTTGCTCAGCCCTGTTATACTCTCTGCGCCCAGAGTAAAGGGTTTCCGGGGATCAATGCAGAGGGTGAGCTTGTCTATGATGCGAGGGAGCTGTGGTTCTTTTGTCTGCGGAGAGGGCTGTAGGGAAGATTGGTGAACAGCAAAGAGGCACAGCTCCGCTATGCCAGGTTGGTCTCTGGGCAAGCCGGTGGACTCAATGTCAAGGAAGACAAATGTTTGGTAGTCCTGAGGTTCAGTCATGGCTGGCACAAAAGCAAAGC